TCCAGTCCAACCCCCTGCCAAGAAGCAGGAAAATCACATTCAAAGCACCCCCAAAAGATGGCCATCCCAGCCTCTGTTTAAAAGCCTGTCATTGGAGGAAGGGCCATTGCTGGGTCCTCATAGGTGAGGATCATAGCTATTTGTGGAGGCAGGAGCTTGTCTGTGTAAGTGGACACCCCAGCCACATATACACATAAATATTTTCACTTTTATTTTGTGTATATATAAATAAAAATATCTACTGGACACAAGAACTTTCCAGATGTTGTCGGATTATAACTCCCATACTCCATCCTGCTTTAGCTGGCTAGTGGGGGGCGAGGATCTTGCTGACCTTTGAAAGCCTATAACTTGCCTATGTCCGCAATGGACTATGAATTGGGGCAAAATTGACATGATCCTATAAATGGAAATCCTGTCTGAGGGCCTCATCACACTAGAGCATGGATACATTTGAAATCTGCTTGCTGCCTCCTGCAGCATTCCGGGGTTTGTAGTTTAGTGAGGCCCAGAGCCTGCCTGGCAAAGCATTAAAGGCTCCTCCCCTCAACTACAAGCCCCAGAATGCTATAAGAGGCAGTAACCAGATTTAAAGTGGATCTGTGCTCTAGTGTGATGAGGTCCTGGATCCTTAAAGGAGCGGTTCAAGGCAGGGGTCTAGCACCAATTGCTCATGTATGTATATCAACCCTATAATATTTTCCATAAGATTTTCATAGGAACGGGATACTTAAAGGTGGTTTTGCCAGTTCCCGGTTGTATTTCTTTAATTCATATTTATTAGATTTCCATATTGCCTTTTCCCCAGCACGTTGATTCAAGACAGCTTTTTTTGAGAGGCCCCTCTCCCCACTACCACCTGTTTTCATCCATCACCAACATTCTCCGCCCTATTTTCAGGCACCAGTTTTAATAAAAGAGCGAGAAAAGAAAGGAAGTCTTGGAATGATGGAAACAAGTATTTTATTCAAAGACTAGCTGTCCCCTACCAGGCGTTGCTGTGGCCCATTCTAGTGGTCTGGAAAATAAAGTAATGAGAAAGTGTTGGTTTCTAATATATGTCATTTCTTTATGCTTGTGGGTAAACAGTATTTCTTGTTGTTTCTTTGTCAGTGTTGATGTGGAGATTGTCTGGTTTGCCTACTCTGGAACATGCAACATAAAATTATCCTTCTTTAGGAGTCCCTTTCAAATCTAGGATACTATATCTGTCATATGCATATATGTGTGTTTGTGTGAATCATATCTATCTATCTCTATCTATGACTGGATGGCTCTTTGTCAGGAAGGCTTTGATTATGTTTTCTTGCCCTAGTGAAGGCAAGACCTGGTGGTCAGGACCCCTGGGTGGGGTTGCGAGGGGGTGTCAGAAGGGTTGCCAAACACCACCAGAAAACACAGTATTTTCTGTTGGTCATGGGGGTTCTGTGTGGGAAGTTTGGCCCAATTCTATCATTGGTGGGGTTCAGAATGCTCTTTGATTATAGGTGAACTATAAATCCCAGTAACTACAACTCCCAAATGTCTATTTCCCCCAAACTCTATCTGTTTTCATATTTGACCATATGGAGTATTCGTGCCAAGTTTGCTCTAGATTCTTCACTGTTTGAGTCCACAGTGCTCTCTGGATGTTGGTGAACTACAACTCCAAAATTCAATGCCCACCAAACCTTTCCAGTGCTTTCTGTTGGTAATGGGAGTCCTGTGTGTCAAGTTTGGTTCAATTCCATTGTTGGTGAAGTTCAGAATGCTTTTTGATTGTAGGTGAACTATAAATCCCAGCAACTACAACTCCCAAATGACAAATTTTTGATTGATTGATGGTCACTCCTTGAGTGACCATCAATCAATCAATTTTGATTGATTTTGATTGATGGTCACTCCTTGAGTAAGGTGTCTTGTGGCCAAATTTGGGGGCAATTAGTCCAGCGGTTTTTAAGTTATGATGCCACTCAAAACGAACAGAGCATTTATATATATATATAAATGTATATATATACACACATTTATATGTGTATATGAGCATTTATATATATATATAAATGTGTGTGTGTATATATATACACACACACACACACACACACACACACTGTTTCTCCCAATGACTCCCACAAATGATAGGACTCATTGGGAACTGATTGAAATCCAAAATAACCTGGAGATTTAGCCCATAAATTTAGCAATCTCTGGCTCTTTAATTTCACTAGTTTGTTTGTCTTGCAACAGGATCCCGGGTCTTTATGCTCTCTGTAGAAACCAAAGTTCTTTGGCAGAAAAAAAGGTTTTGAGACTATCTAGGAAACTGTGGCAATGACAGAACTGGAAGTCATAGCCATGTTAGTCTGGAATATCAGAACGCATAGGGTTTGTATAGCAGCCTAGAGAGCAATGGTGCATTTACACTGTAGAATTAAAGCAGTTTGACATCACGTTAACTGCATTAGCTCAATGCCATGGAATCATGAAGGCTGGAGTTTTGACTTTCTTTGCCAAAAAGTGCTGGTGCCTCACTAAACTAAAGCTCCCTAACATTGGAACTGTGGCAGTTAAGGTGGTTTAAAACCACTCTAATTCGACAGTGCAGATGCACCTCAAGTCAAAAGTTCAAACCACACTGGCTCTGTGTTTTATTAGGCTTAACAGGGGCCCCTTCCACACAGCTGAATAAAATCCGACATCTGTTTTGAACTGAAATATATGGCAGTGTGGACTCAGATAACCCAGTTCAAAGCAGATATTATGGGATTGTCTGCCCTGATATTCTGGGTTATATGACTGTGTGCAAGGGCCCAGGATTTGCGGTCTCTGAAGGATATCTCCCCAAATCCATGTTATTTAACTTGTGTGGAAGCCTGCACGTTTGGGAGAGAGACTGAAGGACCATCTTATCTCCTTGGTGTTTGGGTGATATCTTCCTGATAGTGGAATGAAACCTACACGTGGGTCTCTTTGCTAACAAGGAGACTGTGCCTGTGTCTTTCTCTTTAATGCAGTCCTCGGTGGTACTCAATGATGATGAGACTTTTAGGATCTATTCATAGGGGGTTAAACTCTACACAGCTTTAGGGCTGCCTTGTGAATCCCACCCATACTTTCAAGGAAACAGACAAGAAGAATGACACCATATCACAACGCTGAACCTGTACAACCACCAAAGTTATGCCTTTATTATTGGTGAGCCTGTTTCCAAGTCAAACCTATATCATTCTGTACACAAAAACAACATCCCACTTTTAAAAATTGCAGTTTCAAATCTGCTGTGTTGGGTATTTGTTTGCCTACTCCAATGAACACAAAAAAGAACCAACAAAGCAGAGTCCATGAAGCCTTCAGGACTTAATCTTCCTACAAGTAGTCTTTTTTTTTTCAAGGAGCTGTATGGACACTGTAGAATTAATGCAGTTCGACACCACATGGACCACCATGGCTCAATGCTAAGGAATCATGGAAGTTGTAGTTTGGCAAGGGCTTTAATCTCTGCCAAAGAAAGCTGTCGCCTCACTACACCCCAACTCCCATGATTCCACAGCATTGAGCTACAGAGGCTAAAGTGGTGTCAAACTGCATTGGTTCTATAGCAGGCTTGGGCCAACTTGGGTCCTTCAGGCTTTTGAACTTCAACTCTCACCATTCCTAACAGCCTCGGGCTCTTTCCTTTCGCCCCCCAGCTGCTTAAGCAAGATAGATGGATAGATAAATAGATGGATGGATGACAGGAGAGAGAGGGATGGATGGATGGATGGATGGATAGACAGACCCCCTTCAGGGTGAAAATGGCAGGGTATAAGTAGAGTAAATAATAGGCAGACATACTGAAGATATATAATAACAAAAGATGGACAGATGATAGAGATAGATAGACAGACAGACAATAGTGACAGAGGGATAAAGATAGTAAATAAACAATAGTGATAGAGAGATAGACAGTAGATAGGTAATAACAATAGTTGGATAGATTCTATAGATGGATGGATGGATGGATGGATGGATGGATGGATGGATGGATGGATGGATGGATGATAAAAAGGATGAATAGGTAGGTAGGTAGGTGAAAGATAATAACAAAAGATGGAACGATGGATGGATGGAGTAGATAGATAATAGAGACAGATAGAGATAATAATTGTAGTTGGCTTGATTATACCTTCGTGACTGCATCTCCTACCACAAACCTGCACGATCCCTTCTATCCTCAGGGGAGGCCCTCCTTTTGCCCCTTCCTCTATCACAGGCAGGACTTGTGGGAAGGAGGGAGAGAGCCTTCTCTGCTGCCCCCCCCCCCACTGTGGAACTCGCTACCTGGTGAGATTAAGCAAGCCCTCACCCTAGCAGCCTTTAAGAAAGATCTAAAAATTTGGCTTTTCTGATGTGCCTTTGGAGAATGGCCATATATTCCATTCCTGTTGATTCACCCACAGTGTTGTCCTCATACTGCACTCCCCCCCCCCCTTATTGAAGGCCAAACTCCACCATTCCGTCCCTTACAAGCTCCTTCCCCCTCAAATATACCTTTTTCATTGCTATCTCATCCAGAGTTTTATCATTTTATGTCATGCATTTGGCCCACCCAATGTTTTTGTTTTTTCCATTGATTTTCCATTACGTTATTTTGCACTGGATTGTTTTATTTATTTTATTGTGATGTTATTTTTGTTGTTCTGTATTTTATTTTGCTGTAATGTATTGCAGGGCTTGGCCTCATGTAAGCCCTCTGGACAGATGGTGGCGGGATATAAATAAAGATTATTATTATTATTATTATTATTATTATTATTGAGATTGATAAGATGGATGAAAGAACAGATAGAATAGATAGAATAGATAGATGATACATCATAACAAAAGATGGATGGAAGGATAGATAGATATTTCTATAACTATCTACCCTTCCTTCCATCCATCTTTTGTTATGATATATCATTTGTCTATAGGTGGAATGGATAGATAGGGCCTGAGGCTGTTGGAAAGGGTGGGAGTTGAAGTTCAAAACCCCTGGAGGGCCCAAGTTGGCCCAAGCCAGCTCTAGAGTGAGATAAACCCCCAAGGCAATAAATTACAATAAATAAGGTCCGTGGGTCCTTATCCTTTCCCCTCCCGCTCTGGCCCAGAGTCAGAGTTCGGGGAAAGCCCCGCCAGCCCCGGCGCCTGTGCAGTAGTAGGCGCTGGCCGTGGCATTGGCCTCAGGGGCTTCGTGGGCCGGGTAGGGGAGCCCCATGTCGTTGGGCCGGCAACCGAAAGGCAGGTACTGCTCGAACTCGGCGCGGTCGACGTCGGCCAGCAGCTCCACGTCGTGCGCGGGCAGGTGCTCGAGGCCCGCGGCGGGCTCCACCCCGCGCCGGCAAGGAGCGGGCTCCTGGGCGGAATAGGCGGCCAACGGGACCGGGAAGCGGCCCCGGAAGAGGCCGCCGTTCCCGTGCCCGCCGGTAGGGGCGCTGCTGCAGGCATACTCGGCCCCCGGTGGCGTCGGGTAGCCGTAGGGGCCCAAGACGCAGCCGCCTTCCTCGGGCTGAGGCGGGAGGAACGCCGGCTCTACGCAGGTGCCGTTCTGCGAGTCCGGCTCCGGCGTGGGCAGGCTGTAGCCCGCGAAGTGGGGCAGTGGAAGGGGCGCGCAGTCTCGGTAGTGGAAGCCCGCGGCGGCGTAGCCGGGCTGCTCGGCGTAAGCCAGCCCCAAACCCTCGCTGCCCGCCTCCAGCAAGGAATGGTGTGCGTGGTGGTGGTGGTGATGGTGGTGGGGCTGCGCCACGGCCAGGAAGCCGCCCCCGCCGCCCTCGGCCGCGCCCTCGCCGCCCCGCTTGAGCCGCTTGACCTGCTTCCTCCGCCTCGGGCGGTACTTGTAGTGGGGGTGGTCCCGCATGTGCTGCAGCCGCAGCCGCTCCGCCTCCTCCACGAAGGGACGCTTCTCCTCCGGGCTCAGCGCCCGCCACGACTGGCCTGTGGGAGCAAGAAAGGAGGGAAGGGAAGGAAGAAGTAGAAAGAGGAGGAGGAGGGATAGAAGGAGGAGGAATGGTATTATAGAAGGGAGAGGAGGGAGGAGAAGAAAAACAAGTAGAAAGAGAAGAGGGAGGAGGAGAAGGAATAGAAGGAGAGATAGAAGGAGGAGAAGGAATGGTATTAGAAGGAAGAGAAAGGAGAAGGAAAAATAGAAGGAGAGGAGGAGAAAAAGGAATAGGAGGAGAGATAGAAGGAGAAGGAATGTTATTAGAGGAGGGAGAAGGAGAAGAAGGAAAAGTAGAAAGAAGAAAGAAGATGAGAAGGAATAGAAGGAGAAGAAAAAGTTATGGGAAGGGGGAGAAGGAGAAGAAGGAAAAGTAGAAAGAGAAAGAGGGGAGAAAAAAGGAATAGAAGGAGGAGAGATAGGAGGAGAAGGAATGTTATTAGAAAGAAAAGGAGGAGAAGGAAAAGAAAGGGAATAGAAGGAGGAGAAAGAATGTTATTTGAAGGGAGAGGAGGGAGAAGGAGGAGAAGGAAAAGTAGAAAGAGGAGGAGCAGGAGGAATAGAAGGAGGAGAAGGAATTGTATTAGAAGGGAGAGGAAGGAGAAGGAAAAATAGAAAGAGAAGAAGGGGAGAGGAGAAGAAGGAATAGAGGGAGAGATAGAAGGAGAAGGAATTGCATTAAAAAGAAGAGAATAGAAGATGGAGAGAAGAAGTAGAAAGAAAAAGAGAGCGAAGGAGGAGAAGGAAAGGTATTAGAAGGAAAAAGAGAGGGAGGAGAAGGGATAAAAGGAAGAGAGGGAGAAAGAGAGGAGGAAAAGAAGGAGAAGGAAAGGGAAGGTAGAATGGAGGAGAGGGAAAAGAAGGAGAGGAAGAATTAGAAAGAAGGTGGAGAAGTGGGGGAGGAGAATGAAGGAATAGAAGGAGGGAGGAAGCAAAAGGGGAGGAAGAAGGAAGAGGTGGAGAGGAAAAAGAACAAGGAAGAAGGCATTAGAAAATGAATGGAACCCTCATCCTCTCCAGTGGTGCATCTGCTCTGTAGAATGCATGCATTTTGATCACCTATTTTTAACGACTGCGGTTCAATGCTGTGGAATAATTAAGAGTTGTATTGTCGAAGGCTTTCATGGCCATATAGCCCGAAAAACCTACAACAACCCATTAAGAGTTGTAGTTTGGTGAGGCAGCCCAGCTATTCGCCAGAACAGACTGAAGACCTTATGAAATGTCAGCCCCCAGGAGAGCATGGCGTCGTGACAGCTAAAGTGGGTGCTATTTGTTCTACAGTGCAAATGGACTCTTAAACTCAACTTTTCTTCATTCCTCAACCTGATGCCACTCCTGAGTGTTGTCAGCGCAAAGTTACTTGTGGCAAAGCACCTGGGGAAACTAGCATCTTCAAAGAGCAGGATGGCTGCATCTGTAGAATGAATGCAGTATGACACCACTGTAACTGCCAGGGCTCAGTGCTGTGTGGTTTTGGGAATAGCAATTTGGTGAGACTCCAGCACTTTTTGGCAGAGAAAGTGCCAAACTACAACTCCCAGGATACCATTAGCATGGTGGTGTTAAAGTAGGCATGGGAAAACTTTGGCCCTCTGGGTGTTTTGGACTTCAACTCCCACAATGCCTAACAGCAGGCAGGAATTGGAAGTCCAAAACACCTGGAGGGCCAAAGTTTACCCATGCCTGTGTTAAAAGTGTATGTCTGCATTGATTCTACAGTGAAAAAGATGCACCCTAGGAAGCCCTAGGGCTCATCCACACCTCACAATTATAGCAGCTTCACACCACTTTTGCTGCCATGATTATGTCCAATGGAATTCTGGATTTTGTAGTTTGGCAAAGTACTTAGAATTGTCTACTCCTGAATTTCTGCACTAGAGCTCTCTGGCAAAAAAAAATGTAAGTAGTTCAGGAGAGTATAAATCACAGGGTTCCATAGGATGGAGCCAAGATTGCTCAAGTGGTATAGAAGCACTCTGACTCTAGTATGGAGGCCACAGAGACTGCCAACACTTTCTTAAGAATTGCAAAAATTGTGTGGGTTAGTAGCTGGTTGCTAGGGGGATGGGTCTTCTTGTGCCCCTTTAAGGGCTAGTAGTATCTTTTTTGGGCTCCCCTCACTTACATATTTTCTATTCCTACCTCATCTAGGGTTTTATCATTTTATCTTGTCCATTTGGCCTGCCCATTCTGTTCTATTTTATATTGTGTTAATTGGCTTTATTTGTTTTATTTTGCTACTGTTAAGTATTTTCTGATGCAGTTTTTGTTGTCTGCATTCTGTATTTTATTGTGCTGAATTGTATTTTTGGGCTTGGCCTTATGTTAGCCACCCCCAGAGCTCTTTGGGGAGATGGTGGCGGGGGTATAAATAAAGATGATGGTGATTATTAGGTAAAGGTAAAGGTTTTCGCCTGACATGAAATCCAGTCGTGTGGACTTTGGGGTGTGGTGCACATCTCCATTTCTAAGCCGAAAAGCTGGAGCAGTACCTATTGATCTACTCACATTTGCATGTTTTCGAACTGCTAGGTTGGCAGAAGCTGGGGCTGATAGCAGAAGCTCAGCGGCTCCCCGATTTGAACCTGCGAAGCTCAGCGCTTTAACCCACTGCGCCAGGGGAGGGGGGGCTCCATGATGATGATGACTATTATTATTATTATTATTATTATTATTATTATTATTATTATTATTATTATTAGAGAACTTTCCAACACCAGCTTTTGCAGATTTCAGACTTGCCTTGGATAAAATGGACCGTGGATCACACACCCCTTAAACTGCTATGGCTCAATTCTGTGGAAACCTGGAAATTGTTGCTGGGTGAATCACTAGACTTCTTTGCAGAGACCCCTAGAGACCTTGTAAGACTACAAAGCCCTGTTTCCACAGCATTCTTTCTGCCACAGAAGTTAAAGTAGTGTCCAACTGCATCAATTCGCATTAAGTCTACAGAAAGCTTATGTCAGATTTTTTTCCTCCAGTCTCAGGTATGCCACAGAATGCACTTTTAATTTTTATGTCTATGTACTTGGGAAATCATGATGAAAATCTAGGGGAGAAAAGATTGAAGACCTTGTAAAAGAACTTGATTCCATTGCATGGCTCCCTGGTAGTTAAAGGGGAGTCAAACTGCGTTCATTCTACAGTGTACCTGGAGTCTCAACCTGGATGCTTCGAGATTCCGGATCCCAAAATTTCCTACCATTTGCTCTCTGGAAGACCAAAAGCTGTGAGATACTGCTCCATGACAGGAGCAGCCGGTTTTATTTTGGAAGGTATGGTGGGATTTACCTCGGAGTGTAGGATTGAATGAATTAGGTGTGGTAAAGAACTTCCATACAGGTCCTAGAGCAGGTATGGACAATCTTGGGCCCTCCAGGTGTTTTGGACTTCAACTCCCACAATTCCTAACAGCCTCAGGCCCCTTCCTAACAGCCTCAGGCCCCTTCCTTTCAGCCGCTTAAGCGGCTGAGGGGGGAAGGAAAAGGCCTGAGGCTGTTAGGAATTGTGGGAGTTGAAGTCCAAAACACCTGGAGAGCCCAAGTTTGCCCATTCCTGCTCTAGAGTATCAGCCATTGGTTGCGATTTCTGGAAATAATGTAGTCTGTCCCACGAGAAACGTCAAACGGGTTTGCAGACCGTTTCAAAGATTTCGGTGTCTCCATACTCGGCATGTAAACAATAAAAAGGTCGGGTTTTCGTAATTAAACAAAACTTAGAATAAGCGGTGGAATAATGTCAATTTGAGCATTGGAAAAGTTCTTTCCTGTGTTTTTTTGATACCAGAGCCATTTGGGTGAAAAATTGATGCGACTGGAGCGACTCAACACTATGGCAGCATGGGAGTTGTAGTTTTACATGAGTGCTAGACCAACCACAAACCCCAGATTCCATAGCTTTGAGCCACGGCAGTCAAAGCGTTTGTTCTACAGTGAGTGCATCTTACATTGTAGAATTAACTCAGCTTGACTGCACTTTAACTGTCCTGGGTCAATGCTCTTGCATGGTGTGAGTTGAAGTTTAGTGAGGAACCAGAACCTTTTGGAAGAGGGGGCTAAAGAGCCCACAAAACTACAACTCCCAGGATTGAATAGCACCGAGCAGTGGCAGTTACAGTGGCGCCAAACCCATTCATTCTCTAATGTGATGCACCGTTGGTGGAACTTGGTGGAGAGGCATCAGTGGCACCAGATGGTCCAGGGTCCATCTGGCCTGCGATGCCGCCTTTCCCTTGATCATTGGCTTCCTTGGATTTGCGCTTCTTTTAAGAGGATAGCAGCGTATAAATAAATATTCACTTTTCCACACACATTTTGGTGCCTCAATTGTTAGCTCTGTTTCTGGTGATTCCCAAAATGGCAACAATTTCCCCCTACTATCCGCTCTACTTTTTCAAATACAGAGCATATGCCATCTACCAGTCGCCATCTGCTCACCCATGAGAAACTATGATAAACATATCTAAAAAACTAGAGATGGTGAGGTCTATCCTATGATTTTTTTTCCAAATCAGCGTCCCAAATAACCCCAGAAAAAGACCTAAAAACAAAGACACCAAGGAAAGGAAAAGTTGGGCTGTGTTGTTATTACCAACTATGGTTTTTAGTCGTCTTGAGTCCTCAGAGAGGAAGGTGGGGTAAAAATAAAGTTAATAAATAAATAATAGTACCCATATTTCTCCAGTTTTAAGACACCATGGACGGTAAGGGGCGTGCTCATTTCAGTACCCCAAAACCGCCCGAGATTCTGAGACCATCCCATTTTAAAGAGATGTTTATATAGGGGGGGATAGCATTTTGGGATACATCAGTGGTTCTCAACTTGTGGGTCCCCAGACGTTTTGCCCTTCAACTCCCAGAAATCCTAACAGCTGGTAAACTGGCTGGGATTTCTGAGAGTTGTAGGCTAAAACATCTGGGGACCCACAGGTTGAGAAACACTGGGATACAGTATTATGCTGAATATTGGTTGCACGGAGATATGCATGTATGTATGTATGTATTGTATATAACATGTATGTATCTAATCCATTCTTGGAAGTATGAGGATATGAATGTACAGGCAGTCCCAGAGTTACAAATATCCCAACGACTCATACTGCAGACTCACTTCATCCACTTCATCACCCTAGAGCATGGGTCCACTTTAAATTCAGTTTCTGCTGAATTCTGGGGTTTGTAGTTTAGTGAGGCTGTTAAAGACTCCTCCTTAAACTACAAACCCCAGAATTCTGCAGGAGGCAGCAACCAGATTTAAAGTGGGTTCATTCCCGAGTGTGATGAGGTCCATAGTTTGAGAAAAAAAACTATCCGTCAGGGGGAAAGTTACTCCTGAAAGAGTTATCAGGGGGGAAAGGTGTCTCCACTGAAGTTTTAGCACCAACCCTTGTTTCCACGACAAGCCAAATTTTTCCAAATCCACTTATCACAGGGACAGAAAATGAGGTGAAATCTTCTCACCAGGGGCACAGACAGCCAAACAAACACCACAGGGGTGTTCACCCTTCCCTATGCTAGCCAAAGCTTGAGCCATATATATGACTGAAGCTTTGGATAGCATAGAGAAAGGTATGTAAATCGAAACAGGTACATTTTAAAGTGTAACTTCAGATATTTTATATATATATATATGGTTGAAGCTTTGGATATCATAGGGAAGGGTATGTAAGTCGGGAACAGGTACATTTTAGGTGTAACTTCAGATGTATATGTATGTGTGTGTATATATATATCTGAAGTTACACTATATATATGTATATATGTGTATGTGTGTGTGTGTGTGTATATATATATATATGAAGTTACACTTTAAAATGTACCTTTTCCGACTTACATATACATATGGAGCCCCTGGTGGCGCAGTGGGTTCAACCGCTGAGCTGCTGAACTTGCTTGGGGAGTGGGTGAGCTCCCGATGTTAGCCCCAGCTTCTGCCAACCTAGCAGTTCGAAAACATGCAAATGTGCGGGAAGGTAACAGCGCTCCATGCAGTCATGCCCAGCATACGACCTTGGAGGTGTCTACGGATAACGCCAGCTCTTCTTAGAAATGGAAATGAGCACCAACCCCCAGTCCAACATGACTGGACTTAATGTCAGGAGAAAACCTTTACCATATGTGTGTGTATCAGACAGCAAAACAAACCGCAGGGCTGTTGACCCTTCCCTGTGCTATCCAAAGCATCTATATCTAATCTATATCTATATCTATCTATCTGATCTATCTGATGTAACTCTTAAAATGTACCTGTTTCGACTTCCATACCATTCCCTATGCTATCCAAAGCTGCCGTTTACACTTTGTAATGTATCTGTTCCGACTTACATACAAATTCAAGTTAAGGGCAAGCCTACAGACCCCCTTTCTTGTTCGTAACTTGGGCACCGCTTGTGTATGGGTGCCATATGGAGAAAGGAGTGGGCTGCTTCCCCCAGGCCTTGGACTCACTCACCCAGCATCTTGCTGAGCTCGGCGTTGTGCAGGTCGGGGTTCTGCTGGGCCAGGCGCTTGCGCTCGTCCTTGGCCCAGACCATGAAGGCGTTCATGGGGCGGCGGATGCGGGCCTCCCCCTTGGCGCGGCCGGGCGGCCCTTGCTGCTGCTGCTGCTGCTGCTGTTGCTGCCTCTGGCCGGGCTCGTGCTCCTCCGCCTTGCCCTTGAGTCCCTCGGCGGCGGGGAGGGGGCTCAGGGCCTCGGCCCACTGGCACTGCATCAGGAGCGGGGGGAGCGCGCACCGTCCTTGCGCCGGGTCCTCGCTGCTGCTGGCGTATCCCGCATCGGGGCTGCTCATCGCCACGGAGGGAGGGAGCAAGCCCTCCTGCCGCCCCTTCCTCCTCCTCCTCTCCCTCCTCCTCCTCCTCCTGCAGGCGAGTCTGGAGAAGCTGAGCCTAGGACGCACTCCTCTCTTTCTCTCTCTCTCAACCTCTTGCGTGTTTCTGGGCCAAGTAAGGCGCGCGAAGGGACTCTCTCCCTCAGCCCTGGCTGCCCTCCGAGTTTAAACCGGAGCCCGGGCCAATGGGGCTTGGGGGGCGGGGCCTCGGGGGGCCAGTTCCAGCCGCCGGCCACCTGCCCCGAAGCCGGAGCCGACGGACCAGACCTCGCCGAGCCAAGCGGGGGTTTTTTTCCATGAGATGAGGCGCAGGAGGAGGAGGCGGCTCCACTGAGATCAACCCACGCTCGAGTGGAAGGAGAACGCGGAGGGGCCACCCTGGAATCAAAGGGTCGCCACGTTTGGGTGGCTTGTTTGGGCAGGGAAAAGGGGGAGAGGGGAGAGAAAAGGCTTGATTGGGTCAGTTTCCTGTCGGCTGGGTGTTTTCGCCAGACAGGAAACGTCAGGGTAAATCCGATGTAAGCAATCCCTTTCCAAGAATAGCCCCTTGGACTATCTCTCCCCACTTGTGAGTGTTTTCCTACAGGATAGCTTGTCATCGAAGAAATGTAGTCCGGCACTGCTTACACTGCCCTGGCTTCAGGCTACCGAATGGTTGGAGTTGTAGTTTTGCAAGGTTTTTCTCCTCCTCTGCCCGAGGGAAACCCACCAAATTACAATTCCCAAGACTCTATGCCTGGCAGTGAATGGGATCCAATGGCATTCCTTCTCCCTAACTTTTGTCTGGCAGAGAATGGGATCAGATTGCATCCTTTCTCCCTAACTTACTTGGCTTGTTTTTCCTAATAAAGCGGCAGGAAAAAGTGGGAAAAGAAAACCAACTTTCGATCTATTTGGTCTGTTTCCTGTCTGCTGGATGGGTTTGCTAGACGGGAAATGTCACAACGAAATCCGATGTAAACAATGCCTTTTTTTAAAAGGACAAGCTTCCTCATAAATACACCTTTTTTTATTCCTATCTCACCCAGGGTTTTCACATTTTATCTGGCACATTTGGCCCGCCCTTTGTGTTTGATTTTTATTACGTTATTTCACACTGTTTGTTTTATTTTGTTACTGTTGTGATGTAATTTTACTGTTGTTTTGTGTCTAACTTTGCTGTATTATTTTTGGGCTTGGCCCAAGTCAAGCCGCCCCGAGTCCCCTTTGACGGGGTATAAATAAAGTTGTTTATTATTATTATTATTATTATTATTTATCATCCACTCCAGAGTAGTCGAGAGTGATTGAAGTCTATGTGGACCCCGACTTCATCCAAAGTGCCTCACCAAACTGCAACTCCCAGAATTCCATAGCATTGAGCCCTGGCAGTTAAAATGGTATCAAATCGCATCAATTTTGCAATGTAGATGCACCCTCTGACTAACTAGTATCACTTCTACAATGTTGTATTCTTAGACATCTTGTCGCAGTGCTTTTCCTTGGTGTAGCCAAACTTGGGTCCTCCAGGAGTTTTGGACTCCAACTCCCACCATTCCTAATAAGCCTCAGACCCTTTTCTTTCTCCCCTCAGCCGCTTAAGCTGAAGGGGAAAAGGAAGGGGCCTGAGGCTGTTATGAATGATGGGAGTTGGAGTCCAAACACCTGGAGGACCCAAGTTTGCCCATACCTTCTCTAGGACCATTCCTAACAGCCTCAAGTCCTTTCCTTAAGCAGCTGAATGGGAAAAGGAACGGGCCTGAGGCTGTTAGGAATGGTGGGAGTTGGAGTCCAACACACCTGGAAGGCCCAAGTTGGCCCATGCCTGGTATAGCGCATCCATTACTCTAAGCCGACCTCAGTTTGCATCAGTTTGCCTTGTGTTCACTTGTGCGTCTTTGGGGGCATAAACAGTGGCCAACCATAAATAAGAAGGTATGTCTGCAATGTAGTTGCTCTTTAGTTACTCTCCAGGAGTACAAGCAAACTAAATTTTGTAAAGGAATTACTGTATTTTCAGGGTAAAATGTAGTACTGTAACTACAGAGTCTATATTAGTTTTCAATGAAGGACAGAAGTGGAGACGAAGTTGAACGACTTCCTACAAAACAACTCTCGTGAATTCAACCTGTCCAGAGACAGCAAAGTATTATAGATGGGAATGTATGCCTAGAAGCCGCAAATGGTTCTGATTTCAGTGGCAATGTCCCCCCCCCCCCCCCCCCAGGGCATTCAGGATTTGAGATAAGGTTATATATATACTACTATTTATATCAGTAGGCTGTGACTAAATGCACCTATCACGTTGGGAAGTTGGATTCAGTTCCCAAATATATCACTCTGGGAAGTTGGGTTCAGTTCTGATATTTCGATCACAACTATAATAGTATTGTCGAAGACTTTCATGGCCAGAATCACTGGGTTGTTGTAGGTTTTTTCGGGCTATATGGCCATGTTCTAAAGGCATTCTCTCCTGACGTTTCACCTGCATCTATGTCAAGCATCCTCAGAGGTAGTGAGGTCTGTTGGAACTAGGAAAAAGGGTTTATCTGTGGAATGACCAGGGTGGGACAAAGGACTCTTGTCTGCTATAATAGCTACAATTATTATATTATATTATATCTATCTATCATCTATATTATATTATATTATATTATATTATATTATATTATATTATATTATATTATATTATATTATATTATATTATATTATATTATATTATATTTATATTCTTTTTATGTTGTTCATTCGTTCAGTCGTCTCCGACTCTTCGTGACCTCATGGACCAGCCCACGCCAGAGCTCCCTGTCGGCCGTCACCACCCCCAGCTCCTTCAAGGTCAGTCCAGTCACTTCAAGGATGCCAGCCATCCATCTTGCCCTTGGTCGGCCTCTCTTCCTTTTACCTTCTACTTTCCCCAGCATAATTGTCTTCTCTAGGCTTTCCTGTCTTCTCATTATGTAGCCAAAGTACTTCAATCTTTGCCTCTAATATCCTTCCCTCCAATGAGCAGTCGGGCTTTATTTCCTGGAGGATGGACTGGTTGGATCTTCTCGCAGTCCAAGGCACTCCCAGAACTTTCCTCCAACACCACAGTTCAAAAGCATCTATCTTCCTTCGCTCAGCCTTCCCTAAGGTCCAGCTCTCACATCCGTAGGTTACTACAGGGAATACCATGGCTTTGACTAGGCGGATCTTTGTTGCCATTCTGATGTCTCTACTCTTTACTATTTTATCGAGATTGGACATTGCTCTCCTCCCAAGAAGGAAGCGTCTTCTGATTTCCTGGCCACAGTCTGCATCTGCAGTAATCTTTGCACCTAGAAATACAAAGTCTGTCACGGCCTCCACGTTTCTCCCTCTATTTCTCCAGTTGTCAATCATTCTGTTGCCATCAATGTCTTTTTTGTTTCATTCTTTGCACCTTCCGCTGCACTACTTTACACCAAAAACTGTATATGCTTAAGCTTACCTACGTCGTTGCTTTTTCCCCTTCTATTCTTCCACCCCTCCGATCTTTTGATTCTTCCCGTGCAACCCTCTTCTCCCCTCCGCACTGTGTTTCTTCCCCGCCCTCTCTCCCCCCTCCGCCTTTATTGCCTTTCCCTAACAAAGCCCCAGCAGAAAGCCAACTTAGAAGCCTTCCGCCGCCTATTCCCCTGTCACCCTCGCATACAACGTTTTAAAAAC